CTCTTCTGTGTCACTGCTTCTGTACCTCCACAGGACTGCTGGCTTTGAACCCAAGTCACAAGTTACGATTTTGCCAATTTGGTCAGGCTGTCCCACTGGCTCAGAACCAGCCAGCACTGTGACAACACGGGCTTTGCGGGCAGAACTGAGATAAGATCTGGACTTTCTATCCGCATGTATGTCACTGAACCTCCATGAGCCCTGATTTCTATAACTGTAAGGTGGGCGTAGTGAGGCTGATGGGAGAAAATGTGGGAAGAACTTTTGGACTAGACCCCATCCCTCAGTAGGGCCACAGCATACTGACCTCTGTCCCTATTTTGGGGATCCCTGTGAGTCCTGCTAGCTGCCATTGCCCCTGGGGCCCTGGCTCCCTCCACCATTATTGAGTTCTAGAACTGTTGAGTTCTTAACTCAAGAATCCCCTTCCCTGTTCCACACATCTGGCCTCAGCATTTGCCCTCTCCCAAGGAACAGCTTGAATTCAACACATCTCTCCCAGCTAGTTTATCATTCATTCATTCATTCATTCATTCATCCATCCATCCATCCATCTACTCATTCATGTATTCAAATGCAGGCTCCGTATCCTTCATGAGCGAGTTCGGGCTCAGCTGGCTTCCTCTAGGTCATCTTGGGGAAGTTTCTTAAACTCGCTCAGAATACTAACAGGATCCACTCTTCAGGCTGGTGTGGAGCTAATACATGGAACATTTTTAGAACAATGCCAGACACAGAGGACACACACAGTCTTGCTGGCTGCCGTCACACACACACATCCATGCCCATATAACCAGCATGCTCAGGCCTTCCAGTGCCTTCTAAAGCCATGCATTGCTCTGGGCTTTCTGCGAAGAGGTCAGCCAGCAGGAGCTTTGCGGGGAAGGGAAGTGTGTGTGTTGTAGGGAATGGCAAGCTTTCTGTGACCGAACAGTGTGTCCAATAGTACAGCCCTCAACACCTGTCCAGGGGACAGGAGGAACCAAGGAGGCAGGATGGCCTGTGGGTATAAGAAGTGCAGCTTGGAACTCAGGTTCAAATCTACCCGGAGCTCAGTGAGCTGTGAACCCGCTGGTATTCCTGGAGCCATGACCAGAGGAAGGCTCAATGGTCAGGGGCAAGGGTCATGCTTAGTGCCAAGGTGGCACAAGTGCTGAGGGGAGGCATGACTCACATTGGGCACAAAGCCGGGCATCAGTGCTTTCTTGAACACTGCGTCCCAGTTCATGTCAGCCAAGTAGGGTGAGCTCTGAATGTCACTGAGGCTGGACAGGCGGCTCTCGGGATCCTTGGTCAGCAGCTGTGGTCAGAGGGCAAAAGTGCTTCTGTGAATGATGCATTCCCCACCCAGGAGAGCATAGGGTTGGAAGGTAGAGTCTCACCCAATGGGGAGGATGTCCTTGTATGATGCCATGCTGGGCAGTAGCCTGCCCTGTCTGAGTTGCCTCTGGTAGGGCCATCTATTCTCATCTCTACAGCAGCGGAGGGACTTCAAGGTCAGCTCATTTTTGCAAGGTCATCTGGCAAGTGATTGTTGGAGAGGGACTAGGCTTTCAGTCTCCATATCTCTGTCTAGGTTCAGCCCTGTAACAGTGACCCCTTCCTGATGTTCGCCAAAGCTTTGAATCAGAAAGAAAGGGCCGGCTGCTTCATCAGAGGACTTCTGACTTGGCTGTGGGAGGCAGAAAAGTAAAACAGAAACTTCCCTGATGAGCTACAGGGAAGCTCTGGGTTCTGACTGAGGGGCCTCATGAGTGGACAAGGGGGTCATTTTAAACTTCTCTTCAAAGCCAGTTTCTGCTCAGGGTGGTACAGTGTACAATCAGCCACAGAGCAACACTTTGGATGGTGTGTATAGATGGGTATGTGTGCAGACCTGTGTGTGTGTGTATGCAAGTCATGCATGCACATATGTGCATGTGCGTGTGGAGGCCAGAGGCTGCTGTCAGTGGGTGTGTTCCTCAGTCACTAATGGAAATAGGACCTGGATGACTGTCTTTGTGCTCCTAATTTGGGAGCAAGAGTTGTGATGGAAGTGATCATGGGTCAGGGTGAGGCCCAACAGCATTGGTAAGGACTTGGCGCATGCTAGGAAAGCATGTGCTATTCAGCTACCAACAGGTGCCCCCCGCCCTAGTCCATGTCCGGGTGTCACTTGTCACTGCAGAAATGTTACAACTATGCCCATCAAGTGGTGACGATCACAGCACACAAGGGACACCTGGGAAGGGCCGGGTCTGCTGATCACTGTGGCCTCTGTTTAGCGGCTGCCCCAAAGCAACAGGTACAGAGTTAAACAGGCTCCACTTTGAGGCCATCTGGGAGTGTCTAGGGTAGCTGTCTTGACAGCACACTGATGTGCATGCTTCAAAGCCAGAGAGTTTGACTTGTAGGGCTGTTGGGAGGGCCAGGCAGGCATTGGCATTGTAAAGGGCTTTTAGAGGCTTTTGTGATGAGCTAGGGTTAGAACCACTCATTAGCCAGGTGTGGTGGCACACAC